CTAGAAAATCTGACAAACCGCTAGAGGGAAATATGTCGTCCCAGCTCTCAGTTCGACATATTCTTTAATATTTCTTCACATCGATCTTGTGCATCGCTTTTTTAGGGCTTAAACAATGACGCAACTCAATAGCTAACAATGGATTTAATGTCAACGATGACGTCGTACTAGCAACCCCGTCTCGACCTCTCTCTTTCATCTCTTTTAGACTTCCTAATAAGAGAAGTCTGATAGTCATTGCTCCAGGCAGGCAATCGATAGAATTTAACATGAATTTATTTGATGTCCTGTATACAGAGTGGTGTATGAGGCACACGGGGTCAACTCACTGTGCGCGTGTTTGTCTAACATTTCCAAAGGAAAAATGTTTTTTTGGACGATCATGTAGAAAGCCAGGAGGAGATATAGAACTGCTCAGCCTAGTACAATTAATTCAGCCTCGGTGTGCATGTAACACGGTGATATCGGACTTTTGCCTCGCGTGATGTTTACAGACGTAATACCTGCTTCTCTCTCTCTCTCTCTCTCTCTCTCTCTCTCTCTCCCTCTCTCTCTCTTTCTCTCTCTGTCTCTCTCTTTTCTAAACCATCTTTTTTGCAAAAATTGCTTAAAACAGTCTCTTCGATAACAAGAGGATGTTTTTGATATTTTTGCCAAGAAATCATGCCTTTGAGAATGAAACACGTCTTTTGTTCTCAAATACTTGTGGTTGTGCAATTTCTGCAAATAATTGCTCAGGGTTTCTTTGTAAACATTATTGCTGCAGTATGCGTTGTTCGAGAACATCAACAACCATTTTATATTCACTTAGTTGGCTTGCAAACGCAGCTCTCTCGTACAGAGGGGATTAATATTTGGGAAAGACCTAGAATTACGTGTTTAGCCTTTTTCTGAAGGGTATATCCAGCAACTCCTTAACCGTGGTTTACTGCCCTCTATTTCTGTTGCCATTATCTTTGACTTGACAACCTGTGCTATAAGCTAATTCTACGACGAGGGTTTCGAGCCAAGGCCACGATATGTTTAAGATGCCAATCACTTCTCTTCCCTCTGATACAGTTTAAGATATTGAGCAATCGGAAAATATTAATTTACAAAGTTGTTTCGGGAAGGAGTTTTTCAGCTCCTTTTCTTTTTTTTTTGGTCGTGGCGCTTAAGAAACTACAGTATGTGTTGCGTAATTAAATACAATTAGGTAAACAATGAACCCCGACCGAAACACTTGAATTTTAACTGCAAGGAGTTATAAAAATAACTTCTACACGTACCTTGAGGCGAAGCGATCTTAGATCAGGTAATGTTAAAAGTAACCACGGCAAACGCAGCGAAAACTGTAGCAATCAAAACCGTGGCGGCCAAAACCGTGGCAGCCAAAACCGTACCAATGTTCACAACAAAAATTATATCACTAGCCCCGTGTAAGCTGAAATCTTCTGCTACAATTACTTACTTACTTACTTACTTACGAGAATGCAATCTGGGAATAGAATGAATAACTTGGC